GTGGGAAGGGGAAGAGTCCGGGACTGATGAAGAAAGGAACTGGATGTGGTGTCAGGTCAGAGGTCTGGGAGAGGTGGCTTGTGGGTGTGGAGTTCCTCAGTGGCACTTGTTACTCGGAGAAAGGTGGCAGCGGTGGAAACTGCTGTGCAGAAATGTGGGTTGTGACCCAGAGCTCCTCAGTGAGCGACTGTCACCCTGCTGACTTCTCCGTGATTGACCTTCACGGGTGTCCCAGGTGACAGGGAGCTGTGGTGAGAGGTGTTTGTGGGGAGTGTGTCACTATGTGATGTCTCAAGAAGCCACTGGAGCTCTTGTGGGTTTGTGCAGTGGCCCCCGGAGCACTGGATGAGGTAGGACTCCTCTGCTGAGTGAGGTGTGCCAGGTGGATCATCTCTGCCTGCATGTATCTGGAGGTACTGGTGCTGCTTTTCACAGGCTAAAGCTGGGAGAGCTCCTGCAGTGGGTGAAACTATCAGGTAGTAGCTCCAAGAGAGCTGACAATCTCTGGAAATGTGGTGGACCGGTTCAAATATTGCTTTACGGCTTTTCTGTACACAGGGAGTGCTGTCAATATCAATGGATATGGATTTTCTGTTATTTAATGGTCTGCTGGTTTACTGTATTTGACTAGAACATGAAGATGCGGGGGATTAAGAAGTGTTAAAAAGCTGAGACTTCTTAACATTGCATAAACCAACATTGTTTTCAGTCTCTGGAAACTACTCACAGTGGTGAAAGGGAGTGCTGGACCAGTATGTTGATTAGTACTCTGAGACATTCCGTGTGTTCCAGTTAAGGTGCTGCCGCCTGCAAATGTGTCAGTAACAGTGACAGAGAGCCAAGAGTATGAACTGAGGTGGATAAAACACACTTTTCAGTATGGCTTCATAAAACAGAGATACCAAGTCGAGTACTGGAAAAACAACCAATACGGAAAGGTAAGCCTTAGAAAGTGCAGGAGTCCTGGATTTCTCTTTGCTGGGCAAATGGGAAGGACGGTTCCTCTCACCTTCATCACGTGTGCTTCTTTCTTCTCCCTAGACTCTCCAGAAGTTAAATATCAGCAATGATGAACCTCCGTTCATCTTCACCCTGCAGATGTTGGCATCATCTACAGAATATACGGGGAAAATGCGTGCAAGGGTGAATACGCCTCCGGATTATGAGGGGCCTTGGAGTGAGTGGAGTGAGGAGTTCAGCTGGAAGACTGAGAATGGTACTTTTCACGCAGGCTAGTTCTGTAAGATTTTGTGGACTCTTGATGGCTGAAATGCCTCTATAGATAAATACACTCTCCCAGCTGGGGTTGAAATTTGGTCCAGCCATGAGCTAGCTGGCGTCGCTCAACAAGGTAGGTAGCTGTCCTGTCTGTGACCTTGCAGTACAGCAGCAATGCTAATGAAGGAGGTGAGCAGGAATGACCTGTTAAGCTTCTTCCTACTTCCCTTCACAAGGTGAGTACAACCAAGCGTAAAGGTTTTCACATGAAGAATCAAGCAGAGATCCTGCCCAAAAGATCATCCTTGTTTCCTGATTCCAGTAGTCCATTCTGCCATCAGGGACTGAAGAGCCCGAGACTGCAAGAAGACAGAATATAAGCCATCAGTCTTTTATATTTGCAGAGTGCCTATAGGGTTGCGTAAAACACACAGTAGAGTCTACTGGAGATAGGAACCTTTACATGTTTTTGCTGTTCCTGGACTTAGAGGCAGAATGTCTGCTATCATATGGTCTTGTGCCCAAAGTAATATGATCTTATATGATTTGTCCTGAGGAAGCTTGCAGTGGTAAGACAGTAGGCAGATTCTGATGAGTGTACTCAGGAAGAAATAGGTATGTAGCTGATGATCAGTTATGGCCATCAGCAGAGGAAGCTCTTTCTTAGAAAACCTCTGAGACCCCATCTCTTCAGGACAGTGCAGAGTAAGGCAGACCTAAGATGCCTGAAGGCATGCCTATTGTTCATGGTGGAGTAGGGTACCTAACCATCTTTTTATTAGCATAAAGTGTTCACTCTGATGTCAGTAAAAAGTGAAAAAGAATCGGTGAAGGAAACGATGAACTCCTTTGGTCAGTAAGCTGTTCAGGCCACGTTTGGTCTCTCTGACTTTGGAGGGTATCCCAACAGTTTGAAGGCCTCTTGATCCCATCCCGTGACATGCCACCTACCTTTCCCTGATCTGCTTGCATGAAGAGTGACCAGAGTGAAAAACCTGTTACGGGAAGCAGCCGCTCTGCAGGTGGATACCTATTTCTCTTTTCTCTGTTTCAGTTCTGCCACCAGTGGTTCTCCCAGTGATGCTCCCAGTTCTCATCATCGCTTTGCTAATAGTTGCTTATTGCAGCTATAAGTATTTCCTCAGGTAGGCTTGCGTTGTGACTAGGAGATTTAGCAGCGTGTTGGCCGCGTGGGTGGCCTAGAGACTGAGACACTGCTTGTCCCCCATGGGAGAGAGGTCTATGTGGAGATGAGCCTTGGTGTGCAATGGGCAGCCTTGTGCATGCCTGTGCAAGGGTGAGAGTTGTGTGGCGACATTCCAGGGCCTTGGTGGCGCCTCGCTGTGCAGAGCAGCACGGTGTACGGGGTACAGCCTTTTCTGGTTGCAGCCACATTGAGAAGCAAATCTTGAAAACTCTGTCTTGCTGTTGCAGGAAGAAGCAAATGTGGGAGGAAAAGATTCCGAACCCCAGCAAGAGTCTCCTGATCCAGAGCTACCTAGGGGTAAGAGGGAACTGTAGCTTAAATTTTGCTCTTTTAAAATCCAAGGTAGCAACTCTGCTGTCCTTTTTTCTTATTTCTCTGAAAATTTTAAACTCAACCATTTCGTGATCTCTGTGGCCAAGACAGCCACCCACCATCACATCTCCCACAAGTCCTCCAGTATTCACAAATAACAAGTCTAGGAGGGCATCTTTCCTAGTTGGCTCACTGAGTACTTGTAGTTAGGTCAGTTGTAAGGCAATACGGGTTTGAAGTAACTGTCTGCTGGAGAACATAATACACCTTCTAGTCATATTAGTGAAGTTGTATCCCTATTGCCAGATGCTGTAGGCTTTCCTATTTGTTTTCTTTGTCCATTAGGAATGTATAGTTCTTGATTCTACTGCCAGTGAGACAGTGCTCTTTTGTCATGTCTGCTTTTTCATTTTCAGAAAGTACATTTAGGAAACTGGCCAACAAGCAGCCAGCTGGACTTCAACAACTACAACCTTTCAGAGAAGATGGAGCAGGCTAGCTTCCTTCAAGTTGTGGACAGGTGAGTGAAGAGCACATTATAGTGACACTGTAGACAGGAGTCTCAAGGAGGTCCCTAAGTCATGGCAGACTATAATCAAATGTTCTGTCACTAAAAAGGCTATACCAGTTGCTTTTGAGGAAGGGATACAATTTTTTGCAGTCTGGGTTAGCCTGCTTCTCCAAGAAAGACTTTTTCTAACCCTATGTGTAGCTATAAGTATTTTCAACTAAGCTTGTTTTATATTTAATGTTTACCACAATAATATCTCTCATGAGCAACTTTTAACTTTCCCGCATTCAGGCAGATGAAGACTTTGGCAGAGTCTCCTGAAGGGCAGGCTAAAAAGGCAGATGTTTCCCCTTTTGCACTGGACCTACAGAACTCATACCATGCTTTAAATGAGCCAGAGCATGCCCCAGTTGCCTGCGCAAGTCAGATTGCTGGCCATTCCTTTCATGTTTCAAGGAGAAACAGTGCTGATGCAAGTATTGCTTCCAAGAGAGCAATCCCTTGCTTTGCTTTCAATGGTCCATACTTGTACAGCCCAATGGTGTCCTCCCAGCCTGATATGCATCGGACCCTGGCAGTGGACCCAGTGGGAGTCTGTGAGAAATCAGTTTCCCTTCAGCATGTGACCCTCCCAAAGGAAGACTGTCCCCAGGCTCCACAGGGGCAAGGACAGCCAGGAGCAGGTCCTCCACAGCCCTTCCTGCTCCCAGAGCAGAAGGATATGATGCAGCACCTCGACAATGAGAAAGAAGTCTCACCGGCCCCACCAGCCTGTGGGAAAGGCACGAATGTGAGAACAGAAGAGCAGAAATCTCCAAAGGCTCTTAGCTGTATCACATCTCCTCAGCAGTGCTCCTTGGAGTACGTCACCACAGAGAGCCTGTTACTGCCATCAGCTGTCGACTCCCCCCATCCGCCACTTGTCACTGCTGCGGAGTTGCCTTGTGACTCACAGGACCCCCAGTGACCACTCTTGCCATGAGTTTTCTCCTGGGAAAACTGGTGTCATGGTCTCAGTTTCACATCAAGCACCAACCTCGTCTCCTGAATTGCACCTGGATACATTTGGAGACTATATTACTGTCCCTTTAGGTCTCCATGGACATTCAGAACGCACAAAGATTTCTTTGCCTGTCTTACAGAAGGGAAACGATCTTCCTAGAAAGCAGGCTTTGTCAAAGTGTAACTTGGTGGTGTTAAACCCTGACAGCAGTGAGCCAGTTTTCCTTTGCCAGGTTGGTGACTATTGCTTCCACAGCCTAAAATCCAGTATGAAGACGGATGTTAGTCAGGAAGACCACCAAGTCAAGAAACCTTCTGAAGGCAAGACAACACCTGGGAAGCCTGTATCTGATGACGAATCCATCACTGGCAAGGAAAAGGATGTATCAAAAATGCAGGCTATTCAGCTTTTCAAAAACCTGAAATCAGATGATTACTTTTCCTGGCAGCAACCTTTGAGGATCACAGAAATCTGTTAAATGGGCAAATATTAATGAAAACCAAAGCTACAGGTAACTGAAAGAGATTGCAAATATCTGATGAAAATGAACCCTCAAACCTAGGAACAAATAAATGCCAGTTCCCTTTTCCAGCTTCTGGTACAACATGTTGAAAGACTTGAAATAGCTCAATATCCTTCTCAATGGCCTTCACAGGTTTGGCATGAAAGACAATCCAAATATGTCCCTTTGATGTTTTTCAAAACTTTTGGCTTATCCACAATGAACAGTTTAGCCTCCTCATGATCCTGTGACAGATCACAGTCATCTTGCAATAAGAGCAGATTGCCTGAGGCAAAACTCGTGGCAGGAAATGCAGACTTAACAGCATGAAATGCTATCGGAAGAAGACAGGCTTGGAAACCTTGGAAAGAGAACTTATATTCTTAAAAGCAATTTTGTTGCTCTTTTGTGTGCGTGTAAAATAGATCCAAGAGTCTCCAAGGAGCTTTCATATCTTTACCTTTCCACTACTGGCATGAAATAGGTATTGTCGAAGGTGAAAAATCCCAGACAGTAATAGAAGGGTAAATAAAAAATGAGAAAAAATTGTTGAAGTCCAGGAAACCTTTCTTAATGTTAAGGTGCAGTGTATCACAGCATATTCTAAGGGTAAGAAGAGAACATTACTGGGATACATAAAGTAGGCTGTAGAGAACCATGGGGAAGAAGACATATTACTGAAAGAAAACCCAAGGACTCGTCAGGTGCAGTGAGAGAAAGGGAGAGGGGCAGGTAACAGAAAATGATAGGCAAGAAATGTTATGAAGGTGCAGAAGCCTGTATCTGCTGGGGTTTTTCTGTTTCTAAGTGTTAAAGTACTATATAGTTTTCTTTTAAGTTGTTTGGCTGTTTATGCATGATAGAATTAATCTTAACTATGTTATAACCTATGTATATATAACTATATATATAACCTATATATGTTATATAACCCTAAGAATAACCCTTATTCTTAGGGGTTTTTTTTTTCTAAGTAATAAGCTGTGTTGAGGAAGAGGAGCCTTTTTTTTCCCCGGTTCTGCTGTAAAGAAAGTGGTGTAAGATAAGAGCATTTTTTCAGAGCTGCCAGTCTGTGATCGGTAAAAGGCTTTGGTTTCAGACCTGAAGGTGGGCTTGCATTCCAAAAAAACATTTCTTCTTTCAAATATAAAATTTTTACTAATAAAAAATATTATTTCTTCCTATAAATCTTTCCTTTCATATGTTAAGAGTATTGTGGTTACGATAACATTACTATTAGCTCATCTGATCAGGTCTCAAAAAATTCTGTAGGTTCAGCTATGTTACCTGTGAGGTAGGACGTTTTCTCCTGACTTTGCTATATTATTTGACAAAGATCATAGAATCATAGAATCACAGAATAGTTTGGGTTGGAAGGGACCTCTAAAGGTCATCTAGTCCAACCCCCCTGCTGTGGGCAGGGACATCTTCAACTAGATCAGGTTGCTCAGAGCCCCGTCCAACCTGACCTGGAATGTTTCCAGGGATGGGGCATCCCCAGCTTCTCTGGGCAACCTGTGCCAGTGTTTTACCACCCTCAGCATAAA